ATTTTCTGCTTGCCCGGTTTGGTATACACTCGTCTGAAAACAACTCATAAACCGCTATATATATATATATATATATATATATATATATATATATATATATATATATATATATATATATATATATATATATATATATATAGTGCGCACGCTCGTACTGCTTGCATTTGAGCACTCTGGCAATGGTTTGATGTCCCACATTCGTGAGACATCAAAGGTGATTATTAATTAATACTAGTTACTTCCATCCTGCTCATCAGCATTACACTAATTAGGCCCACAAGGTCGAAACGGTACCGTCCGTAGTTAGATATTGCTCTATGGCCTTTAGGTCATATTGAGCACTGTATAGGGTGAGCCATCGCTGCTTAAGCATAGTGCGCACGCTCACTGCTTGCAGTTTGAGAACTCTGGCAATGGTTTGATGTCCCACATTCGTGAGACATCAAAGGTAGTTATTAATACTACTTGCTTTCATCCTGCTCATCAGCAATACACTGATGAAGCCCAAACATAGATATCTTATATACACTAGATAGCGCATCTCATTTAGTAAAATTGAAGCCAAGAATATTCCAGCGGCTACCCACATTTGAATAGATGGCGGCCATGTTGGTCGTTCCCACTTGCTAATAAACGCTTAAAAACAACAATAACTTTCATTATTTCAAAAGTTTGAAAATGTATTTGGAATAGGGTTAACTTAATGTTTAAGTTCCCTGTTTAACAAATAGAAAACATACGAATCTTCTCATTTCATGGGAACGACCTGAGACTGCAATCACGGCTTCAATTTTTGAATTGCAGAATAATTAGATGCACTATCTAGTGTATATAAGATATCTATGAGCCCAAGAGGCCGGCACGGTTCCGTCTGTAGATATATATATATATAGTAATCCCACGCTACGTGATGTTATTTTCACACTAAAGTCAGTGGCGGAAATTCACTTTTTCCGGTGGGGGTGCAAAGCCTCCAAAATTTCCGACAAAGCTTTCAAATATCCGACAAACCCCCCTATTTGCACTCGAAAAGGCTGTTTTTAGGTCAAAATTTCCGAAAATTCGTCATTTTCCACGAAGGTGGGGGGGGGGGGGGTCGCCCCCCTTCCCCACCAAGATTTCCGCCACTGACTAAAGTCGACCTGACTGTTGTGGCAAGAGAAAGGCCGTGTAGCATTTTACTTCCCTTAACCATGCATACAGGTTTTTTTGTGTATATATACTTGTAATTGCTTATGGGAAAGCGTTTGACGTCCAGAGCCTTCTATATCGAAAAAATTGTAATTAATTATCAAATAAAACATCTGTGAAAGAGTTGTACCTACAATGACTAAAAATTTTAGGCTAAATTTAATTAATCTTTGAGTAATGGCGGATTACTTTGCTAAAATGACCCAATAAATTTGAGTAATTTTATGCTAAACTATAGTTAGAGTCAATGTGGGTGCATTATATTGGTAAAGGTCTTCAGTGAAATTGTTTTACTGCAGTGTATATATATATGAGTTTAAACAAGTGAAGATGCTGTAATGCGCAGGAAAATGTGTAGTTTGTTAAAACAGCATGACAAAGAGCATCTGTATTAAATATCTTGAAGACATATTGTGAAACAATCATCTAGTTTCTTGACAATTATGCAGGACGTAAGAGACCCTGCTGAGGTTTCCTGTGATATGCAATGGGCAATAAAAATGCCCATCCCAAATACTAATTTCATGCATTGTAAAAATAAAGCAATAATTGTTTAGTTTAGGGTTAGCATAATTACATCATAAATGATTTAATGTATAACATCATTTTTGGCAATTACTCGATTCTGATTGGTTACTGACCGTGCAGATTAAACATTAATCGGCGGACGCTTGTTTTTTGTTACATAGTATTTTTATACGCTCATGTGAGGGCAGAAATTTAAAAACAAAGGTTAACTATTTAGACAACCTGAAAATTCAGTATATTTTCTGTGCACTGGCATTGTTATGCACTGAACTCTTATTAAAGAAGGCAAAGATCAAATAAAATATTCACAGTTTTTAGAGGTATATTAATTGATAATTAATGTCATAAATTATTCTTAAAAATTGATTACAATGGGGCATACGTTTTGCGCTCATTTGAACACATATTTAAAAAAAAAAACAATGCTAGTAGGCTAGTAGTATACAGGAGAGGGTTTCTAGACCGGTTGGAGCAGTAGAGCTCCACTCATGACGTCACCAGCGGGATTTTTGATTAGAGCGGTGGTTTAAAAACAGGAGATTTGTGTTTGAATCAGGAGCGCCGGATGCAACGTTAAGCGGTGGTTTTTAGGTCGGTTTACTTTTTGACGTTTCTTCATATGTATATATAGGTAATCATGCGATGGCGAGTACAATTAGGGATTAATAGTAAAAGTGATATTTGGAAATTTTGCCAAAATTAGACGAGCCGCGTTAATCCCTAACTGTACGAGCAACATCGCATGATTACTTAATTGTTTATTATTAGCGTAACAAAATTGAATAATTCTCAATGTCAACATCATATTCTCTCGTCAAAGCCCATGCAGATGAATGCTCAAATCGCACTCCTGTAAACCAATGAAATACAGTATTTGCCACTGACTACAGAAGATAAATAATTAATGAAATAATTGTACTCCTCTCAACCAATCAGCATCCAGTAATTTTGTCATCCGAATAATAAAGTTGGAAATTTGATAACATTTTTTGAGAGGAAACAGACATTCAAATTTGAGCTAAATTGCTTCAAACAGTTCTCAATTTCAATTCATATGAATAAATCGCGTGAAGTGTAGTTCGTGTGAAAAAGGAAAACTGGTGCGCCTCCACTGCTTGGGCATCGACTTTTTCATTGTTTTCTTTAGGTCTGAACTAGTGTTCACAGCCATTGACCGTTCCAATCCGCGCGAAACTAAGTGTTCACAGCCATTATAAGATTTCCAATCCATCGATGACCAACCACCTGCACGCAAGTGCTCAAATTACATTGCCAAATTCTCTCTGTTGATTTAGTGCATTTGTTGAAAAGCTAGCATATAAGCAAATTCGGAATTTCCATTGCGCAATCAAATGATGTGTTCTGTGTCGTTATAAATTGCAGTTGAACTATATAACAAATTGCTGAGACTAAAAGAATTAGAAAATACATACGAAAGTATTCAACTGTACTATCATCATTTGAATATGTAAAAAGTGGTCAAAAACAATTAGTTTCCGCATGATTGATTTGCCTTAAATTAGAAAATATATTCCCTAATTTAAGTTACCAAGGCCTTTCTATATATAGTTTGCTTCACACAGAAGGAGAAATAAACAAAATTATTCATATTTATTGAGTCGGTTTTATTTCATGTAACGTGGTGATTATTATTAATAATCACCTAGAATATTAAATAGCTGAAAAGATGAAGGAAAACTCAGGAAGTCGTCGTTCAAAGCAGACGAAACAGACAAAACTTTGTTGGAAAACCTCCTCAATCATGAGTTCAATATCTGTGATTCATAAACACTTCGAAAATCGGGATTTATGTCAGATAATGCTCTCGGACGCGCATTATCTGACATAAATCCCTCCTTCTCGGCGTTTATCCTACGCAAAATATAATTAATGGGTTAGTTATATTGTGGCTATGAGAAAACAGAAATATAATAATTGAAGAGCGGAATCCTCTGATATGTATATTCTAATCATTCCAGTTCCAGCTACATGTTTTGAATCAGCTGCAATTTTGATCCCGACACAGAAGGCGTCATGTGGAACGCAATCGAAACTCTAAATTGATTGGTCTATGCATGCATTGGGCGTAATTAAAACTTGTCATATGAAAGCTGGTCATAGAGAAGTTGCTCGTCTGTATAACTGCATCTATATTATGCGATAACAAAGTTTTGTTTTGCATTTAATTTTTCCCGGTTAACTCGCTCGTGGAATTAGCCCGTTAATCATGTATGTGCGTTATCAAGAAAGAATAATTAACTGTAAGTTTAAATTTATTCATTTTCCTCACTCCTCACGCTGAAGTTGTAGAACGCTGTGTATTTTCCGCTGTTAGAATTAGTAAGTGTGTTGGAATGGAATGGAAAAACTTTATTTAAACAGGGCGGCCCTTTCAGCACGAAGGCTAGTATCCATGCACAGGTGCCCTGTATCTAGATATAAGCTATTTATACGAATTACATTTTAAAGTATAATATATATAAATACAAAATATTGTCGCAATCAGTTCCGTCACTTCCATGTTCCACATCAACAAGAAAGCTCATTACACACAATTCGTACGAGACATGCGAAAGTGTGAATGGAATCAGCTTACATCACGTGATCAGGGAGCATATTATAAACCTGCACCCTACTGAAGATAAAAGTATTTTTTCCAAAATTATACTAAACTTTGGGAAGTATTAGTCTGTTTTTGTGTCTAGTATTGTAGCTATGTACATTACTAAATTTCTTAAAATAATATAAAAAATAATGCGGGACTAAAGAATGCAGACATTTGTAAACTAATATAGCTTTATGGTAAGAGCGTCTACAGTTCAGTGAAGACCATTTTAATTTTTCCATCGATCGCCTCGGATGATCTTTCACTCTGTGTTATATTCTTGCGGCGCGATGTTGCAATCGCTGTAATCTGTCCTCGTCTTGTTGCAGAAGGCTACTCCAGGTAATGTCACAGTAATCGAATACTGGCAGGATAATTCCGTTGTAAACATGTATTGCTGCTTTCTCCGTTAGAAATGTTCTAATACGCCGTAAGACATTAACACGTACTGCAACCTTTTTGTATACATGATCCGCTTGATCTTTCCACGTCATATGACTACATGACTATCGAATACTACACCTAAGTACTTAAAAGTGATAACACTTTCGATACATGACCCGAAGGAGTTCACAGTAAGAGCTCTGTTTCGTTCACCGTGCCCCTGTGAGCAGAACAAAATACACTTGGTTTTTGTGATATTCAGCACCAGGTAATTATCTTTCAACCACTCAGATTAGCGATTTAAATCTTCATTGATGTTATCATTCACCACATCAACCGTCGAGGCCGCAATGTATATTGCTGTATCGTCTGCATACATACTGACTGAGCAGCTTCGCATACAAGATGATAAATCATTGATGCAAATGATAAATAATAACGGGCCAAGAATTGACCCTTGCGGTACCCCACAAGCGATATCCAGCTCTTCAGATCTATGCGAATCAACAGTTACAAACTGCTTCCTTGCGCAAAAGTTATCCTTAAACCATAATAGACTTTCATCAGATACGCCATAATGTTTCAGCTTATGAATTAAGACATCGTGGTCGATTGCCTTAGCTAGGTCAATGAAAACGGCACCCGATACTAGCCCTTTATCCATGCCCATGAGAATTTGGTCTGCAAAATGGGTTACCGTTATTTCTGTTGAGTGTTTCTTTCGAAATCCTGGCTGAGATCTACACAACAGGTTATTTTCATCAAAATACGATGCAAGTTGGTTATGGATTAATCGCTCATGAACTTTAGATACTACAGGTAAAACAGAAATAGGGCGGAAATTTTTTGGATCACTCTTTGCGCCATTCCTGTAAAGTGGCGTAACTTTTGCCTTCTTCCATTCTCCAGGGATCTTACATTGTTGAACTGACAAATTGAACAAAACTGTCAATGGATAGGTCAATACGTCAGCTCCGTCTTTCAACAATCTGCTTGGTATGCCGTCTACACCGGTGGTTTTCTTCACCATTAATTCCCTCAGAGCAGTTCGAACCTCCAAATCAGTGTACAATAATGTTAACTATTGAGTAGTTTGACTGTACGCAGAACTTTATAGATTCTTAGCACTTGAATCGACATTTGATCATGCATTTCACGCGGATGAACACCCGAACACAGGGTGGAAGTAGAGTGTCAAAACCTTAAGTCATAAATACAGCATAGAACACCGCTATATAATAATGTATATTTATTATATAGTTTGTTAAATACTTGTAATCCAGGCATATTGTGATTTGTGAAAGTTCTCCGGATTGATAATAGATTTTTTTGAGCTTTTGACTCGAGTTTGGTACTTCGAGCCTTTATCAGAATTATTTTATGATTTTTTAAATTTCTTTTTTATTTTCATAACTGCCAGACTATTACGAGTTTTTAACATTGATGTAGCACACAAACCGACTCGTAAACTTGGATCATACTTCACAAAACACAAACATAAAACAACTAATTTAGAAAAACGAAACGCAATTTACATGATACCGTGCAGAGACCGTCCACAACGATACATTGGCCAAACCTCAAAAAAGTTCGAGACACGCCAATAACTGGACACAAAAACGCCATAAAACGATACGATCTTAGGTCACTTCCCGCTACACACATATACATGACAATTGTCATACATTTAACTGGACACACACTGAACTATTATGACAGGTACAAACTGAACATGCACGCGAATTCAAAGAAGCATGGCACAGCATGGACAAAAACACAATCAACCGACTCATTGACATTCCAACGATCTACTTTCAATGGTCCGTGTGTTGTGACACGTTATCGTTCCCTTTACTTAAGCGTGTCTTAGATCTGAAATATTTTTACGGGAACTAACACTTTCAAGCACGCTGAGTTGAAATCCGAAAAGTTCCCACTAGGTGGACCTGCAGTTTTCTCACAAAATGCTATTTTATCTTCAAAAATTTCACGACAAACTTTTCATTTTTCAACGACACGAATCGATGACTATACACCATTATGTCACTCAAAAGGACCAATTTCTATTAACCAATCTTCCTTTTAACAAAAGATCGGTTTTGCTCGAATCATTTCGAGTTATGCAATCGTATGCCTGTTGAACGTATACAACATATCTTGTCTACAACTTTGAGAAAGTACAAATAACGTTTTCTAAAATCCTCAGTTCTAGAGATATCTCTGTAAAATCACAAGGACATTAATGCGAAGTCTTTTGGCTATGTCACTGGCCTGAAAAATAACTCTTTTAACGCGATCAAGGTATTTCAAACAAAAGTAACACGAAACCAACGTAACAGCAAAGACAACGCTAAAATGAAATATTGTCGATTGGTTGCTGTAGAACACCAATACGACAAGATCAATTTTAAATAACCTTAAACTATATATAAGAATAAATGTTCACATCAAAGACAAAGATCAATCCCAAAGCGCAAAATATGCTCTTCATGTAAACTTACGACGAGGTGTAGAAATGTGTACATGAGCTGTTTATTTGGTGATTTTAACGTATATGGAAGCCCTCTTTCCAATAATATTCGCTTATCGCACAGTATAACACCAACTGATGTAATAGTTTAAATGTGATAAATTATCTCTTGAATTACATCTCAGAAACTGTGTTGGAAATTTAAATGATGATCGATTACATATAGATTACCGTTTTATACCTCGTTGTATAAAACATTTTGATCGAACGTAACAAAATATTTTTCATGCCAGTGACATAGCCCAAAGATTTAACATTAACGTCATTTTATAGAGATAGATCCAGAACCAAGGATATTAGAAGGCATTATCTGTACTTTCTCAAAGTTGTCAGTTGTCTCAAAGTTGGTCAGGGGGGGGGGCAGCAAAAACCCAGGTGGGGCCAAGCCGCCAGTGACTCGAGACGCAAAGTTCGCGCAAGAAAAAATTTTCCGGACCACACAACATTTTAAATCTCCCCCTCCCCTCCCCCCCCGTCGACGACTTTTTCGGTAAAAAAATTTTCTGGTCAATAACATTACAATTGCTCTCGTAGCACTTTTCCCGATTTCCGTATCACTTTTTCCGATGCTTCACCACGACAACATTAGAGAGTTTGAGCAAGACAACGAAGTCGGATGACGACGACGTGGTTGACAATTTTTGCCTGTCTTGCACATTAGCTTACGCATTCTGAGTTTAGGGTCAGGGGTGAAGACAGATTAGAGATTTATGTCTAACTGTTTATGAATGCTGACCCAAATCCTTACCCTGATCAGGACAAAACAGCGAGACATGAATCCATATCTCGTCTTCGTTCTTCTGGCGTCGTTCACAACGAATATTTTGGCAAAATTCGTTGTGAACTTCGTTCCGAACGAAGGCAGAAGGACAAAGACGGGATATAGTTTCATGTCTCGCTGTTTTTTTCTGGGTCAGGGCAAGAATTAGGGTCAGTATGCATAAACAGCGACACATGGGAAGACACGTTGAGCAGCTACCAGTGACGCCCAACTCAGTATGCGCAAGATAATGTGCAGACGGCAAAATTTGACAAATACGCCTTCGTCTTCGTACTTCGTTGTCTTGCTCAAACTCTCTTGATAATTTTCCGACGGGTCTCAATTTTCCGAGGGGCCGGGCCCTCCTGCCCCAGGCCTGGCTACGCTCTGAAAGTTGTAGACAAAATATGTTTTTCGTCCAACACTGATAAGATTGCATAACTCAAAATGATTCGAGAAAAACCGGTCTTTTGTTAAAAGGAAGAATGGTTAATAGAAGTTGGTCCTTCTGAGTAACATAATCGTGTGCCGTCATCGACCCGTCTCGTTGAACAATGAAAAAATTTGCTGTGAAATTAGTGAAGATAAAATACTAGTTTGTGAGAGAACTGCAGCGGGTCTAGGGAGTGGGAACTTTTCGGATTTGAACTCAGCGTGTTCGAAAGAGATAGTTCCCGTAAAAGTAAAAATAGGCACTTTTCGAGGTCACAACGTACACACGGCCTACAACTAAAAAAACGCATAATGCCAGTACTAACAATAATACGAACACTAACACTCATACTAATTTGCCAACAACACTTCCTCTCACATCCAGAAACCCACATTCCAATCATTCCAATGATACCATCACCAAGGATATTAATCCAACATTAATGCATCCTGTAACCACCAATGAAATGGGATCATGACCGTGCAGCGAACAACCAATCAGACGCTCCCGACGTATACAAGAACACAAACAACCAATCAATCAACCAATCAGACGCTCCAATCAGACGCTCCCGACGTATACAAGAACACAAACAACAGCGCGAAAGTTCAAACTCATTAATTGTAAAATAATTCTGATGAAGCCTCGAAGTACCGGGTCGAAAGCTCAATAAAAATTATCAATCCGGAGAGCTTATATATATATATATATATATATATATATATATATATATATATATATATATATATATATATATATATATATATATATATAGATATATAGATAGAGCGTAATATAGTTTTTCGTTTTACCTCAAAAAACAACAACAGTTGTTTCATCCGCATAGGAATCATCAGGTGGTGAGTAATTTCGAAAATGTAGGTTGCTTTTATGCTATCGAAAGAATGCGCGGAATGCGTATAGGCGGAACAATGTTTAGGCGAAACAATTGATGCTTAGGCGAAACAGTGCTTAGTCGAAACAATGCTTGGGTCATAAAATTTTGTTAACGACCTTGTTTACTCGAAACCGGCTTTTGTGACGACACTTGCCGAAAATTTCGCTTCTTTTATTGAGTAAATTGTTCATCACCACCTGATGATTCCTATACGGATGAAACAGACTATTGTGGTTTTTTGAGGTAAAACGAAAAACTATATTACGCTCTATCTATATGATATTGAGCACTGTTTGTGTTTCGTAAACCAAAAACTTAAGCTATATTTGCACCCGGTAATCGGTTGTGCACTCTTGTCTATACGTTATTCATTTTACTTCTACTTCAAACGTGCGGAAATTTCGATTCGATTATTCACTAAAGGATATTCCTATACCATCACAGGATGCTTACTTAAAGAATTTGATCGAAAAAGTGGAAAGCGTAACAAAAAGTATGAGATGGAAAGCTAATTTCTTCCTAAAAGGATCAACAACTCAAAACCAATTAATTAAGCAGCCTTTTCGGCCTTTCGCCTAACAAATCGCCTCCTTCAATTCCACTTTAGAAACTTTCCGAAGACGAATTGATAAAAGTAATTGAAAATGTAAAATTCCGGCGTTCTAAAGACCAATTTCAGACATCTTTGGCCAACGATTTGAAGAAAATTTATTCGTCCCCCAATAATTTCATTTTCGCAGACAAAACAATAAGAAACATTTACGAAACGACGTCACTGAACACATACAACGAACTCTTACATGACAACATCACGAAAACGTACAAACATGGATTTTATAGATGAAATTGACTCTTTCTGAAAGAAATTTCAAGTACGTCAGGAATTGGAGACAGAATTGAACGAATGAAAAAACGCGAAGCATTTACATCTTTAAAAGATCACAAAGAAAATTTCGAGAATAATCCAAAATGCCGATTAATTAATCCCGCAAATAGCGAATCCGGAAAACTAAGTAAGTTTATTTCAGATAAAATCAATTCCAATTTGAGACAAAAACTAAATTCAAATCAATGGAGGAATACGCAACAAGTAATTTCATGGTTTGGCAATATAAACGATAAAGACAGGCACAGTTTTATTTCGTTTGCCATTGCGGATTTTTACCCATCCATTTCCGAAAAACTTTTAAACGAAGCATTGGCCTGGGCTTCTGATTTGGCTACTATCACCGAAAACGATATTTCAATAATAAAACATGCAAGAAAATCTCTACTTTTCGGCAACGGCAAATTATGGACAAAAAAAGACGGAAGCAACAGTTCATTTGACGTCACTATCAGTTGTTTCGACCTCGCTGAAATTTGTGAGCTGGTGGGCCTTTTCATTTTAAATCACTTAGGTAAGAGGT